TTAAGCATGTATTACGACATAAATCTAATTTATAATAAAGAACCAATTAAAATATCTTAATAAAAACCAATTAGATTCTTAATAATCATTGTTCTTTGTCAAATACTATTATCATGTGAGAGAAATATCATTATTATAGATAGATGTTGAACTCCTTCTGGTAATGACGTAATGCTCACCATCTTGGACTTTTGCAAAACCGTGTCAACAAATAGCTAAATAACATATAACATGTCACAACGGTAACAGTTATTAATAGATATTTATACATAAAAAATCAAAAAAAAGAATCAGCAAACTCTTAAAAGTTTTAAAAATACATGAAACTAAAGCAATACTTAAATACATACATAAAGATATATTAACTGAATATTTGAATATAATAGAATATATTAACAAATTATAACAAAGTATTAGTGGAATAAAATGAGTATTATTATTAAAATTTTGTAAAATCTTGTTCTCTTTATTAACTTACTGGAACTAAAACAACAAAAATACTATTATATTTTATCAAAATTAAATAATAATTTAAAAGAATAGTAATTAATTTAGTTGGATTTTGTTCTATTATAATACAAGAAAATTGATATATTGTGATAGCAATTGACTATTTTACTTGCTGATCTGAAACTAAACAATATCAGACAAACAAGCAATAAAAATTACTAAATTTATTTTTGAAAAGATAATTTGTTGATATAAATATCCAAAAATACAATCAGACAATAAAATAGAGTTTGTAAATGAAATTATCAAAGAATTGATAAATTAATTCAATATTAAATAAAAGTTTTCTTCACTATATTATCTACAAATAAATAGAATTATTGAAAAATTTAATAAAGCAATGTGTTCAGTACTTCAAAAATATTATATTGCTTTTGGAAATAAATGAGACCAACATATTATAATTATTTTATTTATTTATAGAATACTCAAAAACTCAATAACAAAATATGAATTTTTCTTTTTTACTTATAAAAAATGCAAGATTTTTAATAGAAAAAATATAACTAATTAAAAATTTAACTAAAGATCAAATATTATGTTGAATTTTTAATGTAATTGACAAATTAATTATAGTACAAAATGAAGTCAAGAACAATATACTTAAAAATAACAAAAAGTTAAAAAAAGATATAATTTCAAAATTTAATACATGAAAAAATTTCAAATTGATAATAAAGTTTTGTTATATAATATAAAATAATATATAATTCATGAAAGCAAATTTTGATCACAATGGAAATCAGAATAATATTATATTTATGATAGTCTCAAAAATAAAATATATTAACTTAGAAATCAACTAATTAAATAATTTATAAATGAAAAACAACTCAAAATATATCATGATTGCAAAGATTATTTTGAATCAATAGTGATAATTGAAAAAGAACACTAAAATTGATCAATATTAGTATAAAATTAATATTGTTATCATTTCCGTTGGTTTATTAACTTTGAAGTATAGATCACGTGTTCTTCACGTGTCTCAATCAAGTGGGAGAATTATTAAAGGCTTTTATGTATTTAAAGTAATTAAAGTTGGGAGAGACTAATTTAATAAAGGTAGGTAATGATGTGTTCATTTTGTTGAACTGCTAGAATGAGTTCAGAAATCTTCTTTTGATTTAAATAGTTTAATTGTTAAGTAATCTTCTTTTATTGATTAACTTTTATTAAAATTATCTTCTTCTTTTATTATAAATCTAAATAATATTAATCAACTTCACAGGGTAGTGATGAGAGATTAATTATGTTATTATAAATAATGTTACTTGTTACAGATGAGAGATCTTTTAAAGAATAAAAAATACAAATAAGAAAATAAAAGGATAATTAATGCTTGACTGAAAATCTCCAACTCAAGATTTATAATACAACTCACTTCTAAGAAGATTTTGTCAAAGAAAATTAAAAGATAAGAGAATTCTAATCAAAATGATTATTATCAAAAAGATTAAGTATAAAAAGATTATAATCTATGAGAAGATTATTTTTCTAAACTAAGATACATGTTGTATTTATACAAATTATTGTTACTCAATCTTCAAATATTAAAGCTATTTTTAATTGATATTAAGATTACAAAAAGCACTCGCTTGATGATTGTATATCACTCACTTACTTGATGGTTGTACATTGCTTGCTCTAATATTACATAAATTTTACCATTAATATCAATCAAATTTGGTTATGTAGATTAATTAACATGTGCTTTTCATACTAATCATAATTAAATATGATTAGTATGAATTATAAATAATATAGAATGAGACAATATAAAAATAGAATGAAATAGAATAAAATAATATAAATATAGAATAAAATAGAATAAAATAGAATAAAATAATATGAAATAAAATGATAATAGTATGAAATAAAATGAAAATAGAATGAGATATTATAAAAATAGTATGAGATAAATACAGATAATATAAAATAAATATGAATATGATTTACAAATCAATTATCCAATGAAAATTAACTATGAAAAGTCATGTGATATGCTAAAATTCATATTACAACAATATATAATTGAATTAATAAAAAAAAATTATATTCAACTTGTTTATAAATTAACTTTTAAAAGAACACAATTATCTTTAAATATTCTGATCTCATTTTAGCTAATCGAATATATATTATTTACTTTTAAATATTTGTATTCTCTTTTCAACTTGAAGCTATATCTCTTCCATTTGATATAATAGCACATGTTTTTTCACATATTTCTTCTGTAACAAGACTTAAAATTATATAAAATGATAACAAAGTTTGGTATTTTCTCTGTGAAAAAGAAAAATTCAAAGACATCAAATACAACAAATTAATTAGCAAATGAATTCTTTGTGGATAAATTATTCAAATCAATAAATCAAACTAAATATAACATAACCAACCAGTATTAAAATAAATTAATTATTTAAAAAACTAAAAGATGAAGTTGATTTAAAAAAAACTCTAATAAAAAAACTCAAAGAAATAAAATAACAATAACTGAGATAATTGGTAAAAGTTATTTGGAAAATACAATCACCAAATTAATTAATCAACTTAGTATATTATTAAAATAATACTTTCAACAAAGCGAACAAGAAATTCAAATATATATATATACCATTTATAACAAGATATCAAAAACTTTCTGATACAAAAAAAAGCTTACCAAAGATAACAAAAACTTCAAAAACAACTAGCTAAACTTCAGAATTCAGAAAATCAAATCATAATTCAAAGTGATCTATCAATACAAATTATTAAAGAAGATTTAGAAGATAATGAAAAAACCAGAATTAATTATAAATGAACAACAATTTAATCAAATGATAAATGAATTGACAAATCTAATAAATACAATTCAAGTACAAGCTGGCACTACTTCACCAGCAAGAGAAGTATCATTCACAAAAATTGTTAATTTTTATGAAGATACTCAAGATCCCATTGGATAATTACAAGATTTTGAAATTACATGCCAAGCCAATAATATTACTGATACAAGAAAACAACAAATCATTAACACATGCTGCTGGAACATGGTTCATCAATAAAAGAGCAACCACAGTGAATTGGCCAATGCAATAAAATCCAAATGCTCCAAATGATATAAATAATCAAAATGTATTATTTATATTCCAATTCAAATAACAATTTAGAACTATTGATAAAATATATAAATGGCAACAACAAGTAGAAGAGCATTAATGTAAAAATCAATTAATGTACATGAATTCATTTATACTATCCTTTAATCGTTTTTCTTCACTTCTCTAAAGCCTGAAATACGGAGACGAAAGCAATTTTACTTGACATTTTCAATCGGATAATACTTAGATTTTATGTAATTTCTCTGATGATAAAGAAAATCGAAATTTTATAAGTGATAAATTTTACAATTTTTTTTCTTGCATTGCTACTGAAAAAGATGTAAAAAAAAAGCTGGCTCTCAAAAGATGCGCAAATCTGCTGGGGACGTAGCCACGGACAGCGGGTCAAATGACGAACTGCCTGCAGTTTGCTTGGAGACGTAGTCCTGCACCAGTTGAGTGTAGCGAGAAAAAATACACTACTAGCCAGATATGAACACGCAAGCTTGCTGGGGACGTGACCACGGACAGTGGGTTAAATGACAAGCTACTGGTCAAATGACGAACTGCTTGCAAGTTGCTTGGAGACGTAGTCCTGTGTTCATATGCGAAAATGTATAAATGTAATACTTATGGAAGCTGGATGCAATAAAAAGGAAGGGCATAAATAAATTTATTGATTGTGTAACTTGGTTAAAGTGTATAAAAAAGTAAGTTATTGATGTGTAACTTGGTTAATCAGATGGAAGATCACTTACAAACCTATTTGCAGTATTTTCTCGATACGCGACGCGGTTACTCGGCGATTGATTTTTTCAAGAAATATGGTTTCAACTACCGCGACAAAGAGACAGCTCATCTTATATTAAGTAAGTGTCTTGAATACCTGCGTTCAAGCTCGAAACCAGAATTGCAAACAATTTCTGCTAACGTAATGAAGGCCCTAGAGGTATGATAAGTTTAAACAGTTCATGAGTTTCAAGTTCTTCTAATAAAGTTTCTTTTCCGACAGAACAAGAAATATCTTAATGCCTTTTGGGCATCCAAAAAAAGCGAGGAGAAGAAAGATAATTTGGAAAAAAGAATGCAGATTGCCGAGAAGAAGAGCAAATTGTATGATGTATGTATATGATGCATTTCTGCAAGTTCATTATGTTTCGCAAATTTCAAATGATTGATGCCTCGTTTGTGGGTTAGGTTGAACAACACGCGACTGTAAAAAAATTAGTATATAAACAGGATAATAATGTTCGCGAAAATTTCAGTGCCGAAATATTAAAAAAAAGAGATAGTATTCAAGATATAGAAAAGGAACAACCTTCTATTCCGAAATCTCGTAAACGAAAAAGAAAAGACTTACTAGAAAATAAGGTATACTACTATTGGGATCAAGGGTCTGATCTGAACAATAAGTTTAACCATTTTTTACAGAATTTTAAGATGCGCCTCTTTGAACATCAACCTGAAAGTGAGCCTGAGGATGATGAAAATGAAGAAGAATGTGAGGATGAAAATGATGAAAATGAGGAGGAAGATGATGTTATTGATTTCAGTACAGTTTCGTTCGATCAACAGGCAGAATCAAGTAAAGGTGGACATTGAAGAATGGCGAAAAAGTCAAAGAAATTCTTGTTCGTATGACGTCAAAGACTATTGAGCAAGCAAAGGAAATACAATCTAAAGGGAAAAAATTAGAGGCATCCACTTTAAGCACTATACGGTATATAATTTATTTTCTTGGATTTTTTATAATATTGAACACTAACCTTCGTTAATCACTTGTGTAGGCTTGGGCTAAACATCGAGCCAAAGAAATTTGAGAGTGTAATCGAAAATGACATTAACAAAATAGAGGAGGTATATAAATAATATATGATTGGATATTTATGATTTATGCATAATTGAACTTTTTTTCGATATTCAGCTTTGTAGTGAATACAAATACTGGGAGGCAAGGGATTTTGTGTATGAGAAATTAAAGGGACGTCCAGATAAAACTAGAACTTTGCAACATCAAGTCATGAAAATCTATTTCTTTATGTATGTATTTACACCATTTTTATGTAGTAATATTCACATTGCTCGTTAAACTGATTTTAATTTATAATTAGTATAGAGATGTTTCTAGTAGATCCCTACATTTTTGTCGACAGGGAAGGAAATAAACAAAATTTAACAGAAATTGAATTCGTCCTCAAAGTTGCGGGTCCAACAATAGATATAATATTTTCCGATGTTCAACATCTTGTTCAGCTTAAATGGTAAATATTTTGTTTTCTCTAGGATGATTATCAATTATTGTTCTGATTGTAAATACTTGTAGGGGAGAAACAGTATCAAAAGCAACGGCAGTTGGAAGAAAAATCGACTTACAAGTTACATGCCGAAGAAAAAATCGAGGAAAAATTGTGGAGCTTAGCCATTCTGAGTGCGCTCGTAGAACAACTCCTACTAAAATTATTAATGATCGTAGTAAATGCTTGAGAACAAATAAATTTGTTCTTGATCAATATCTTTCACATGATCTGTCCGATGAAATAACCGAAAATTCTGCAGTTATTGGGTTGCAGTTAGCAGGTAAGGCTTTTAAACACAAATTACGTATTGCATTACGTTTCATAGTTATTTATGCTCTTGGTTCTATTTTATTGTTTAGCTTTATATGGTCAAATAATTGGTGTTGACTTATTAGATAATGGATTATATTTCGGATTTGAAGGACCACTATTAAGGTTTCCTACTCAAATCAATGATATTACTGTTCTGAAACAAACTTTGGAAGCATTATATTTCTTTAAGGTAAGAAACCGGATTTTTGATGTTTATTTATGATGGGTTATTTATAATATTTTTTAAATATTAGGAAAGTATTGTTCACAAAGCAGAAGCATTATCATGTCTTAATCAGGATTCAGATCCCTTTAGTAATATTTTTCACACTGAAATAATTTCGAAGCCCCATCACCATAAAGCGGATTTCATGCGTCCAACTTGTTTTACTCCACAAAGAAATAAAAAAAAATGAAATAAACCTGTTGTCATCCGATGAGTAGAATAATCACATTTATACATTGTAATATTAATGTCATATATAATAAAATAAAATGTTACGTTATATAATTTTCATACTCCAATAAGTATTATAATTTTGATAAACCGCTGATGTTATTATATGGAATAAAAAATAGCACATTGTTGACCGAGGCAGTCAGTGAAAATCACCGAATTCGACGCAGTGACTACGATTCGAATTTTTCTACTATAGCGCCCAGCTCAACTTTGAGATTCGCAATGCAGAATACGACCTAACCTTTTCTTATCCTCGCCAATTGCAGTAAACAGATCATAAATCTTTTCTATTGCATTCTTCGACAGATTAGAAAATTTTTTTATGTGGTTAAACTTTTGAATATAACTGTGTTCTATATAAAATAATGGCAAACACAATCCACAATCGATTCGTTGAGAGAATTGAATTCCAAGATCTTAGCTGAGATTACTGAACTTAGAAAAGAGAACATAAAATTAAAGAAGAAAAAGCAAAACTCGAGACTAGAATCAAGGAACTAGAGCATATAAAACAGATACCACCAACCTCATTGCTGAAAATGTTGAGCTTAAAGCCAGGATCACGAAATTGGAACAGAAGCAGACACAGGTCATTACTAATAAACAGGAAGCATCTTCCACAAAAGATATTTTGCAGTCCTCGACTTGTCCAGAATTACCGAAAAATCCTCAACCCCCAACACGAAGTGCTATTTCTCCTGAAATAAGAAGTGATTCTGGGATATCATCCATTTCACCATCTATCGAAGACCACTCTACTGATTCCGTGTCCTTAGAGCAGATTTCTGACAATACTCCTGAAAAGTTAGAAAATACACCTGATAACACATCAAATTCTGATGTATGTCAACCTATCCGCACAGAGTCTAAATCATTAGAGGATAAGGAGATTGATGAATTTCTGGATTTAAAATTTAAAGAAAATGTTAGCGATATGATGAGGCAGATGAATAAAGAGAAGAAGCTTCAGGACAAAGACTTATCTTCAGTTAATACATTCAAGTTACCATGTGATGTGAAGATTCTTCATGCGGGAAGTTTACGGACAGTGCTTAGGGACAGTGCATGATCACGGAAAATTTACGTTAAAGATTATTTTATCGTTTAATAAGGGTTAGGGTTAGGGTTAGGGTTATATGTAAAATTGCTTTTCCGACATTTTTTATTAGTACTTCAACTTCAAGCTAGATTTTGACATCTGTTTTCCAAATTTTTCACATTTTTTATTTTCTTGTGTCGAAGGTCACGTGATCTAGCACTGTTTCTGAGCACTGTCCGTAGACTTCTCGTTCTTCATGATCAGAATCATGTGACCTCATAACATATCCATTAGATCAAGTTTTTTAACCAGTGTTTGATAAGCGCTGAATTATTTATTCTTATTGCCACTACTTCTACTCGCGAAATTGAAAAATTATCGGATCCTTTACTTCTTTGCTTTGGATTGAATTAATGCGGACCAAATTGGATAAATATTGACTTTTGAATCTATCCAATATTGTGTTAGGTGAAAACTGTGGCGTTCCAGTAGTTTTGAACCCCGGAAATTTTGTGTGGCGTTATGTTCACTTTGTCTGGTTTTAATTTTATTGTTACAAGTGATTTGCAACGCCGTCGATTGGTTCACTATGATCAAAATTTTACAACTCGAACGATCCTATAACGGTAACTTACAAATTATCGAATTGTTCTCGTAACAAAGTATTACGTGAGTTGGTTGTAACTAGAGATCAGTTATGAGAACCTAATTTGAAATGTAAATCATTGGTGGATAATTGACGGTTTGAAAATATTTCTCGTAGTGTACCAATTATAACGATGCTGCAAATCATTTTGATGTGGCACCTCATGCATTTTTTATGTGTGACCACGTTAATTGTTAATTATCGAGATCGCTATTTCGTTATTTTTAATGGAATTGGATAAATTAGTTGCCGGGTAATTATAACAGATAATAGTAATATTCTAGTGAATTCCGGAGTTTCAGACTCGTTTATAACCTCCGCACACGCACACACACCTGAAAAACTATAAATATTTGAGTTTTCAAGAAAATTGCTTTTTAGTAATTAACAGTCTCTACTGGCAACAATAAAAGTTTATATTTTCGCTCAAACACTTATAGCGATTACATTTAACACACATATTTTTTTCAAAAACAAACAATACTCTTGCGTATAAACATAAATCGAAGATGGAATTGCCAGATTTAGGCCGACACTGTCACGAAAAAAGTTGCAAACAACTAGATTATCTACCATTTAAGTGTCCGCACTGTAAAAATCAGTTTTGTCACGAACATTCAAAACCGCAGGACCATGATTGTCCTTCAGCACCACAAGGAGACGGTGTGCGAGTTCCGACGTGTCCTCTCTGCAACGTTCCTGTTCCGATAAATAAAGGAGAAGATCCGAATCTACGGGTAACGTAAAACAAAATTGAAATTTCACACTTTTATGTATGTTTTCACTTAATAAATTCCGAAATACTAATATTAATTTAAATCAAATAAAAGATGGAACGACATATTGCAAATGACTGTCGACCACCACCAAAAACCACATCAACAAAACCCTTCAATTCCTGCTCATTTCAAAATTGTAAACAACGTGTTGCTGTACGATTACTGTGTGCCGGATGCGGCAAGAACTATTGTATTAAACATCGACTAGATATTGATCATATGTGCGAGAAAGTAAAGAATCAAAATAAAGTAACGAGTATTTCACGGTTGACAGGGAATTCTTCTGGTAAGAATACTGTTAATAATAGTAATAGTGATAATACCACTACTGCTGCCAATCGAAAGCCAAAGTTTGCTGTTAAGAATTGGATGAATAAATTGTTTCAAAGGAAATAATTTTAGACATCATGACGAATAATAACATTAATTTTTTTTTATTTATTATTTTCAACCGTTTTACTTACCTTTTTTCTTCTCGTCTAATTTTTAATATAATAGTGTACAGAAGGAAGATTTTGAGTTTTTAATCCTCACATATTTATTCTACATTCATAATTTATTTTCGATTTTTACCTGTATTTGTAACATACGCATATACGTATATAGTTAGATAGATGATCAAAGCACGATAATAAATGAGCATAATATACATGAGAATTATAGGTAATATATATTACGTATTCCTTGGAATTTTAACACTAAATCTCGCGCGTGATTTCTAAAAAAATTTATGAATGTCCAAGCTTGAATACCAAAAAAAGTTCACCAGAAAAATTTATTTAATAAAAGATGATGACAAAAAAATTGGATGAAAATAGAAATAAAAGAAAATCCCATTTTTGAACTAATTAGGTATTCAATTATTAATCTCTCATTAATCTGCTTCAAAAGCGATGAAGTCATAGCGATATAAGTTAATACCTAGCCACGGCAAAAAAAGTTCCGGTCACGTGATGTTGATCAGATCCAACCAGTAAGAATGCGCAAAAATTATGCGCAACCAATAGGAATGTAGCAATTTTTTGCTCAACCCGGCAAAACAAATCCGGCACAAGAAAATAAGAAGACAAAAAATGCGAAAAATACAAAAAACAAATATCTAAATCTAGCTTGGCACACTATCAAAAAATGTCGAGAAGACAATTTTATATATAACCTTGATCTCAGCTCTAACCCTAATACTTGATATCTAATATTAATCGGATATTTTAATGGAGCCATTTCAGATCACGTGACCGGAACTTTTTTTGCCGTGGCTAGGGTATTAGATACGTATCAATATGTCTAAGAATTGGACTAGATAATTATCGTAATTTCAAATCTCGATCTATTTGGAGTGTTGTTTTATTTCTATTTCAAGAAATGTAAAGATTAAAGATACCATTCGGAATATACTTGAAGAGTATTAACTAGTGTAGCGATTGTAATTCAACTAGTCAAACATCTTTATAACGGCTGCATGGTTCTGAGAATTTTTGGTCGTTATAGAATAAATTCATTATACGATGTATACAACGAATATATGTGTCCTATATGATGGTTCCAAAAATTTCATTCGTTCTAAAGAGGATCCGTTATATACCGGGCCGTTATAAAGAGGGTTGACTGTAATTCAATGGATAACTCATAGTTGATCACTTGATATCAGAAAGAAAACACGGTCGATTTGGTTATATATATAGTTTCCACTTAGATCCGGATCTTTATTATATGCCGATAGATAAAGTATTAAATTCAGGAAATACTAAATTACTTACTCATACTTTTGTTAAAATAAATCTGGTTTGTGTTTAAAACCAGATTTGATTTACATTGAATATAAAATCGGTTTAAAGAAATATGGTCCCTGGTTTATAATGGAATTTTTTCCAGTCCCAGGTCTTCATTAGGTGATATCCCTTTCTGTAAAATGGATTAATTCTAATTTTCCAAGTATTGGTAAAAATATTTATATTACAACCTCCGTTCAATTGACCAACATCTAAAATTAATAATTTTGGGTTTAATTTTTCCAAAAATTGACGCTCGCTAAGGTAGAGCAAGCGCCCTAAATATCGGTTGATTAATGGTTGTCGGCAGGTGTACCCTCGGATGAACCTCATTGAGCACCCCATGCCCTCCCGATAAGGACGTAAAGATAAAAAAAATTGATTATGGGGTGTCTATTATATTTGATTTTGGGGTGCTTGTAAATTGTGGGATATTTTTGTGAGAATGTGTTGAATCAGGCACGTGAATTTTTAAAGAAAAAAAACAGTATTACGGAAAGACAAGAATATTGCCAGGGCCAAATAGAGTATATACGATTACCGGCGGACCCATCACAATTAATCCGAAAAAACTATTTCAAAAACGAATGAGCGAGATAATACTAACAAAAAACGATAATCGAATTTCCGTGGGCCAAAAGTTTATATAACACAACAACGTTGATTGGGATGAATGAATTATGGGAAGAACATACCGACTATTTTAAAGATGCGACAATCGTCTATATCCGAACAAGCGCAACAAATAGTTACCGCAAATTCAGAATCGAGAAATCGAAGGAAAAGGACGAGTAACTAAAGAATATCTTATTTAATTTGTAGTTAATGCAAAAAATAGAAAACCAACGAACGAATGCACTATCAAGCATATGGACAGCCACAAAGGGAGTGTTTGGAATTGAGCGATTAGAAAAAACTCTCAAGGGGTATGATAATTGGATACGAAAATACGCATTGGTGCAATCAATTCTATGTAATTGTACTCTGTCGAAAAAAATTCTTGAATTATACATTACTTGTAGGACACCTTCCTTCGTCAGTCTTTTTACCTTCTCAAATGTTTCGTCAATTTGTAGCAAATTTATCAAGCCTGGAAAGGAAGGTTCAGAAGGAAGTAAAAAGGCCTCTAAGAGAGGACAAGTAGATGGGCACACGTGGGTTACTTTAAGATCTGCCCATATGGATCGTAGTTTGCCTTTGCAGATTGGTTCAAAGTATCAGTGGAAACATATAACGATTTCGTTGAACACCCGAGTCACCGGGGTATAAGTTTCTGTTGGATAGTAACGGGAATGTAATGATAGTTGATATGGCCTCAACAGTGCATGCAAAGGTTGTTGCACGGCTGATGGATCAAATCAATGGAACCTTGTGTGAGTTTCTGAAGAAATATAAAGCGGAGTTAGGAGAACCAGTTATTGCCAATATAATTATGAAAAAAGGATGCACATCCCTTATCAATGTCATACAACCAGCACTGTACCCTCTTTGTTAGAGTAGACGAATATGATACTCCAGGTAATAACAGTGCGTTTAGAAAGAGTTCTTCGAGGTTCTCAACAGTGGTGTTGTTGACGCTCCGATAGACGTTTGTGGTCAACCACGTAAGAGAATTCCTTTCAATTTTCTTGACCTTGGGCTTGTTACTGGTTTATATCCTCCCGTAGTTCATTATTGTCCATCTGGAAGAGGGGGTAAAAATTGCACCGGACGTTGCTGTTTATCCAGATGTGGCTTACGTTCTGAGACCGACTCTTCCGCCTCCGCCTCCCCTTCCACATCGTAGAATTCCCTCATTGACACAGAGTTTGGTGCATATACTTGTTGAGTGCGATTTCCTGATATTAATACGATTTATGAAAATCCTCACGCACGAATAATGGAATATCGAAAGTCAGTCTCGTTTCCAGTGTCAGATGTCTTCTGGAATCCACCAATTACTGTGACGCATTTTCCCCAAAAAGTCACGCACACGTGATCACGGAAATTAGCGTTAAAGGCTATTTTATCGTTTGGGTTAGGGTTAGAGTTAGAACCCAGAACAAATTATATGTAAAATTACCTTCCCGACATTTTTTATTAGTGCTTCAAGCCAGATTTTCCATATTCATTGTGTTGATCAATATGGATTTTTTTTAACAAAACTAACGTTAATCAATGGAAGTGTGAGGATGTTATAAAGTACTACCAAGAAAATAATGTCCGATCAACAAAGACCTCAAAGCGAATTGCAAAATCTGGCTCCGATGCGCCACGTACTTATTGGTTCACGTGAGCGCGACTTTTGGCCAGCAATATTTAATAAATGTATGGCACAGATCTAGTAGCTAGATTATAATTAATAGGCGACTGTTGACTTAGACGGCCAAGTCCGTAATTTAACAAATTTTTCCCTTGTATTATTTGAATTCTGAGTTTACAATTGATATTTTGATATTTGGACAACAATTTATTCTTCGATTCAAAACATAGTTTAGCCAGTTTTGAGAAACCGTTGTTGACAAAAAGCTCATAGTTCCCATCCATTATACAGTCAAACCTCGATCGGACGAAAATCCGGTTTATCGAGGGTGGGTTTGCCCAGATTTAACGTTAACTAATACTTCGTTATATCGAGGGTTTGACTGTATACAGTTAAAGTTCGATAAAGCGAACTCGCGTTAAAACGAAGAATTTTCAGTGACGAACCTATTAACAGAGCTTGATATAACGAAAAATAATATAAAAAATGCTTTATAACGTTAAGCGAAGCTTATTCTTGAATAACCCGAGACCTTCGTTTTATCGAACTTTAACTGCATTGAGTTGGTCAATTCGACTTCTCTTGCATTTAATCGGGTCCAGAAACTTTTAAGCAACGTCACGCGTAGTAAGTCACGTGAAAAAATGTATTTTTATTATATACAAATTATATATATACATATCGATATATCATTTTTAATAAGCACCAATACAAAGCTAATAATACATGAAATCGCTTCCTCCGAAGATGATGATACTCGAAAATCTTAATATTGTGATGAAAAAAGGAGTGGGGAAAGGAGTGATGGTTACTTGAAAGGAATAGCTTATTTTTTGGTTGACAAATAAAATGTGGATTTCTATTACAATACAACTCATTAAGATAGTTATTGTAAAAGTAGGGTTCGGTTATTAAGATTATATGATCTCATTGATTAATAAAACGGCTGTTCATAATTGTAAGCTTATTACGATGTGTGAGGAAGAAAAGAAGGAATGGCCGATTTCTCGCACTAAATATATAATTAAGGGGGTCATTGTGTTTGCGTTTGACGTGTGTATGTGTAATTGATGATTTTTCTATGATCAGATCAGATAACGTCAAGTCAAAAGTAACTATATTAAATTAAAACACACACACACACACGCACGTACATGTAGCTTTTTGAGGAGTGGGAAATGTGATGATAGTTCTTTTTTAATATGATATATATGAATGTATATAATCTTTTTGGTCAAATAAAAAAAATCAATCCAACAAATGATAAAAAAATAAAAGCACCAATCCAACACACCGATAATTGACATTCAAACAAACTCGTTTTTTGCTTTACTCATTTTTTGTCATAAGAAAACACCAAAGAAAAAAAAAATACAAAAGAAATAGTGTCACAAAAAAGGATGATTTGGAACCAAAAAAATGTACAATACAAAAAAAGGAAACAGAATAGGGTTGATGAATAGATAGATGGATGATCATCGATGACGAATGGTTATCGAGATTAGTAGTAAGAATAAAAGTAATATGTGAAATTGGAGGACAGAAAATTAAAAGAACTAGATGCCATTACATTACATACAAGAAGATGAAGGACGAAATACGTGATTAAAATCCTTAATTGGGGGAGGGTGGTTAGGGAAAGAAATTATTGTTCATAATTGCGAAAAGAGAATAAATCCTTAATTATAATAAAAATGAAAAGTATGTATGTAATGCGTGACTAAATATAATGACTACTATTACTAATACTGATATCCCATAATATTATCATCATTACTATCCATATACAACTCATCTAATCACAAATAGTTTTTTTATGCTAAAAAAAATGAAATGAGACTTTTCAGAAAATAAAAAAAAAATATGTACAAGAAAATTTGCCTCGATCTTTGTAATTGAATGAGGTGAAGAAGTGATAGTATGATGGAAGGGCGGCGAAGGCGGAGAAGAATCGGTGGCGCGGCAAAGATGCGTATATAAAGATGATGGTCTATATCTATTAATATTCTATCTATATTGGCGTACCATTTTTTTAAAGGAAAAAATCTAAGTCTAAAGATAAAAGTAAAATAAAAAACAGAATTTTGTAAATAATTTTGTTTAAATGTTTGATGATAATGCAATGGTGGGTGCAAACGATAAACCATCATAATTAAATATTATTACATTATAGAATATCTTCTCCACCACTTGCCCACCCTCTTTTTCCCGCATTCAGTTTCTTTAAAGTCCTAGCAAGTGAGTTACCCGCTAATTTCATTCCAAGTCTTCCGTTCACCATACTATGTCGTCTACTGCCTAAAACTTGCTCGAGTGAATTCATCATTGTGTAATCTTCATCCTCTGTGAATTCTGCTGCTGAATAATGACCGATCAGGGGAAGTGCTCGATCTTCTCGATCTGATAATATTGCATCCAATTCATCGTCATCGAGTACATTATCTTGTTTTGCTTTTGCATCTCCTCCCCCACTATTATTATTCCCACCACCAGTACCAATACCACAATTAGTATTTAACCCGACATTTTGTCGTGAATTTGCCGATGATGAAGGGTTAGCATTTGCAAATTCATCGGGAATTGAAGAGTCCAAGATTTCTTCACTTGTTCGACTTTGTACACAGTTTTCACTTCCTGTACATACCGAAGAAGTTTGCTCTTCCTCTTCGTCACTGAATACTTCCTCAAAATGATCAGCTCTCGTTACTCTAATACGTACTGAATCTTTATTCTCTTCAACGCTGCCTCCTTCTTGACTTACACTTTCATTACTTCCACTATTTGTGCTTGTCAAACTGCTTTTACGTTCATGCAGTGAATGAACTGAAGGTCTCCGATGATTTTTATTCAGTAATAAAAGCTGCAGTCTTCGATCATCAATGTTTGATTCAGATACTATTTGCTGCTGCTGTTGGTGTGGTGGTGACAATGGTCGTTGAGGAGGGGATTGTATTATTTGTTGTTGTGATTTCTGTTTTTGTTGTAATTGTAACAATTGAAGTTGTTTTTCCTTTTGTATTTGTATTTCCTTTTCTTTCTCCAATTCCTTCTGTAGTTTTTCTTCGCGTACTCGTTTTTGATTTTGAGAATATTTTTCCATTCGTAAATCTTTTTCGAGATCATCAATTTGTTTTTGTTTTTGTGCCAATGATGCTCGCAATAATCGTACTTGTTTCTCGTGCTTCTCTTCCATTTGTTTCACTATCGTTTGGTTTTCATTCTCGTGCTTCTCTTCCATTTGTTTCACTATCGTCTGGTTTTCATTCTCGAGAGCTCGAATGTTAACCAGTAATTTTTGTTGATTTTCTTTGGCGTTAGAAAGTTCATTTTCAAGTTCAGCTACCCGTTCATTCAATTCGTTGATTTTCGAGTAATTGCTAATTGATTCAATGTCATCAAAATTTTCGTGTAAAGATGGTGTTTGTTTACGAGATTCTGCCGAAATAGAAATATCATCTCCGTCTTCCAATGATCCAACCTTTGTTACATCTTCAAGATTTCTTCGTGATATATTTGTTGTCACACTGTTACTATTATTACCACCAGCTGCCAATTGTTCTTTTAATTGTTGATTTTCCGCGCGTAATCTCAATATTTCAGTTTCCTCTTTTTCCAATCTCTCCATCGTATCACTAAACGTCGTCTGCAATTCTTTACCTTGCGTCTCCATCTCCATCACTTTTCCTGCCCATTTCTGCATCTCTTCGACGAATTTAGCGTGAGCATCGCGTAAGAGTTGATTCAACTGTAATGAGGTTTTCGATTCTTTACGTAACGCGTCTTGCAACGTTTGTATATCAGATTCGAGTGCGGAAAGATCTTCAGTGTGAGTTTTTTGTAAGTCATGATACGCTTGCACGGTACTGTCGTACGTTTTTTGCAGGGTGCATCGTTTCTCGCGTTCTTTGTTTAGTAGATAGAGCAAGGATTTTGTGGTGGTTGTTGATGTCGTGTCTTCCATGCTGTTGTTTTGTGTGGACGGTGTATGTAGTGGCGGAGCCGGCAACGAATGTCTCTGTGTAATTAGAATCAAATTGTTTATATAAATATAATTATTATTGTTTAAATAAATAAATATAAAATTTTAAGCTCATTTTTATTCTTGAATGGCAAGTTAGGAATAATGACATCTGTATTATGATTACGATTATGATTATTATTATTATTTATTATTATATATAGTTACCCCACATTAAAACGGGGCGGTGCATTTTTGTTTGATTTGTGAGAATGGGAATAGTATAAAATGGAAAATATAATACAATACAATACAAAAGATACGAAAAAAAATTAAAACACACATGATTCGGTTTAAACAACTCGTCGTCCGTTTCGCATTTTTTAGTTCCTATTGTTGCAGTAGCGGTTGTAGCGGTGTTTGTAGTGGTGGTCGCCGCCGCTGATATTGTGGTTCGCCTCTTTCGTTGTTGAGTCATCGATGACGTAACTTCCTCGTCGTCAGTATTTCTCACATATTGAAGTCTTCTGCTTGGGATAAATGAAGGAGGCTGACCGCCAACAGCATTACTACCACCGTTATTATTGATACCGCCAGTGTAATGGGAAATTGTTGTTCGTCGAATGCTACTTCTATTAATGTTTTCCAACTGTGGTTGAACTATAAAAGAATCGACATTTTCCTCGTCCTCGTCGTCTTCGTATGATGAAGCACTAGAAGATACTAGAAAATTTTTTTGTACCTGGGGTGGTTTTTGGTTTTGGTAAAGTAACTTTAGAATTTGTTGTGGTTGTTGCTTTTGTCTTTCAAACTCTCGAGACAACCGTGTCGGCTGTCGTATGCGAGAAATTGAAGTTGTATTTGTCGCTGAAGAAGAGTACCCGTCTGTCATTGCAGATATGCATATACACACACAAAATTTTTTTGGCACCTTCAAATAATTCTACTGCATCTACTCTACGTCTAATATTAATAGTATTATAGTTACTAATGATAAAAAAGTAACTTTCTCTAAGTTGTTTAGTGTTTTTTCTTGTTGGGTATATTGGGTATCCAGCCAACCCGTGTATGTAAAATAATAATACTAATAATAATTACTATTATATTAGTATTCAAATGTTATTAAAAGTTTCTTGAACTTCTAAGTAGATGTTGAATAGTATTCTATCTATTTATATGTATATAATAAAATAAAATAATTTTTCTAAAATGTTCGCTAAATACTACTTCTTTTTATTTCCTTTTTTCCAAAGCGGCAAAATTAAAAAAATTGGTTGCCTGCTGCATCAAGAACAGGATGTGTATGTGTGCGTATGTGTGAGCGTAGATGCGGATATAATGGATGATAATATTATTATTGTGGGGGAGACCTACGTTAATTTGGATATTTAAAGTATTCTTTAGGTGATTATTGTAACGATTCGATGCAGGTTTTTTGTGGTTTTGACCTTGGTCTTGGCTTTGGTTGGTCACTTTTAATTTAAATTTTACATATGTTTTTTGTGTGTGTGTATCGATTATATTAACTATTTGTACGATTTTTAATTTAAGATTGCCTGCTCTTCACTGTTATTGTGTATATTAATAAATAATAAGTTTTATTATCTTTTTTGTAAATACTATGGAAAATGTTCGCAACATTATATAACACGAATATCCGCATTCTCATTCTTTGAGATAATCGAGATAATTGCGCAACCGCCTTGACTTTTTATGCTAAGAATAGAAATGGTAATAATAATAAGACCCGGACGAAACTTGGTTCTTTCTAAATAATTAGCTAATTCAGGTAATATAATAATAAAAATATATACAAAAAACCATGTCATTATCTCATATATCATCATCATCATCCCTTTTCATTGATTCATATTTTCTTTCTTCTCTAATACTTGGAGTTTTCATTCCCTCATCTTCCTTTCTTCCCTTCCCCCCTTGAAACTTTTGATCGAAAACGCCAACTCGCTTCAATTTTTGCGTATACGTGCTTATTTTATATACCCCGTACATTTTGTTCTGCAATCGACAATAATTTTAAGATTATTTAATCGTTGCATTATTTTATTTAATCGGATTAGTGTGGAAGCAACAAGAAAAGCGTGTTGTCGTTGAAATTGGAAACATTTAGTCAATTGAAAAGAATAATGGACACCTTTAAAGCGATTCTTTTCACGAGACATACACATACCTACATACATACACATATGTACATACTGCATGCGTTACATCAATATCATTATGGTTATACACCATATATAATCTTATATTATTGGCATATGTCAAAATTAAATAACATAAAACTTACCACTGGAAAAAACTTATTCTCGTGTGGTTTGTTTACCGTCAATCGCGAACCTTTAGCCTCTCGTCATTCACATATTGCCGATCGGCCGAATATTTCCTGTTATCTTAGTTTTTCTCATGACGACAACAAAAGATTCGTACATGAGCGGACATTTTCTGCTTGCTTCCTGTCGCATATACGCGCATAAACTGAATTGATTGATTAATAGACTAGTATACATAGGACCAATCCGGTTCTTTTGAGTCACATCATGAATGTCGCGTCAATTAATTTTATTATTGTTATTTTAAGTCGACGAAAGAATGAATGAATCGAATTTGGTTGGTGTGCTTCTATTATCGACCTGTTTCTTTCCTGTTACGGTCTAATGAAAAAGTGTCAAATCTATCTATCTGTGTCCACAGCTATATCATTTATATCTGTCAAATTAATTTCGAAGCTTTAGCTAATTCCAGTTCATTTTAGAATCAGACACATGTACAAACGCCAGCACTCGGGTGAGAAAAAGAAAATTTTAGTTGAAAACACATGTATAAACGCCAGTATTCGGTGAGAAAAAAAATTAAACTTTCAATAAAGCTTTTCGTTGGATGCACAATCGAAAGTTTAATGTTACGAATTTCACGTGCATTTTCTAATAGTAGCAACCCTTTAAGACTTTGAACGCATTCTTTTATAATTATAACGATAAAATCAGAACTGAAAGTTTTAATAATATATAAAACTTGAAATTTAATTACAAGTTGGTTTATATAAACTTATTAAAATATTGCATTATGAAACCTTATTTAAAGTTATTTATATCATGCAGATTTTTTGTTAAACTTTTTTATAGTTATAAGTATCAAAAGGTTTAACTTGTCATACTAATTATTATCAATCTTGACATAAAATTATTTTTTAAACTCTATTTTGAATAATATTTTTAAATCTATTAGTTTTAACTTTGCTAAATTTGTATATAATAAATACAAGCTTTTGAATCAAATACTAACTTGTATTTATATAATAGCTCACAAAAGTAATATATTACTTTTAAAATTTATTATTAAAATAAAATATAATTTTTTTTGTAAAATAAAAATAATAATTTATATTTTAATATATATTGATAATTAAAAAATATAGCAATATCAAAATTTATTAATTTAGAAAAATTAAGTTTTAAAGTTTAAAAAATTTGATTTTTTTATTATATAAAATTTATAAAAAATAATTATATAAAAAAATCGAAATAATCAAATTTAAAAAGTTGCTAATAAAATTTTTTGTTTTTGTTTATATAAAAATTATATATATAAAAATTATATATATAAAAATTATATATATAAATATATTAATTATAATTTAAATATTATACAGGGGGTGGAAAAAAGTATTGGACACTTTTATTTTATTAATTACTTTAAAATATATATAATAAATTATTTTTA